CCCCCAAAGGGGTCGCGACCCACAGGTTGAGAACCGCTGCTTTAAATGCATCAACAGTACCTGTGAAAAATACCAACCTAACAATCTCAAGAGGATTGGAAAGGGGATGAAATTGGAGTTGTGCCCCCACACCCCCTCCACTAAAAAAACAAACAAACAACAACAAAAAACTTATTCCAAGAGAATTGGTATTGATTTGTCTGGTAGTTCCCTGGAAATTCTTACTGGCAAGGCTCTTCTTAATTTGACCTCACTCAGAGCTCAGTTATTGTGAACAACTTTTCCCCTGGATGTCCGTAGGGAACTTTGAAACTATGACAATACCTAGAAATAAAAAGGTGATGTGCATATGCAAAGATGTTTGCATGCCCAATAAAAACCTGAGAATGCCCTCATCTGCCAATTCTGGCTGACCTGAGGCTATCTGGAAGCAGGGAGTGATGGCTAAGGCAGAGGTGTAAACTGTCTCCCAGAGCTTTAAAGATTTACCACACACACACAACTTCTCAGCAAAGACTGGGAAGCTTATTGGTTCAAAGCAGTTAAGGAAATTTATGTCCAATTATATAATGACAACCAAGCTAACACAGTAGAGACATCAATGCCCACACATGACAAACGTGAGGATTTTATACAATTAGTTCAGGAAAGCCACTAAACTGTATGACAAAAACAACAACAAAAAACAATCCCTGGGAGGATCTGATTTTCAACAGTGCCACATTATATTCTTTTAAATATGTTTAAATATGTAGTTTTTAACAAAAGAAATTATGAGATATGCAAAGAAACAGAAAATGATGGCCTAAACACAGGGGAAAAGCAACCAATACAATTTGTATCTGAGGAAGTCTAGATGTTGGACTTACTAAGAAAAAGTGATTTTAAATCAACTATTATAAGAGTGCTAAAAGAACTAAAAAAAAAAACCCATGTTTTTCAACATGGTTTTGTTCATCAGAAACTAGGGGACATTATTGAGAGAAATTTTTAAAGAAGATTTAAACAAATGGAAAAACATCCCATGTTTATGGATCAGAAGACTTCATGTCTGGTTGATAATATGCCCCAAAGTAACCTAAAATTCAGGACAAGCTCAACCAAATCTCGGCTGATGTTTTTATAAGCTTATCCTAGTATTTACACAAAAATGGAAAGGACACAAAATAGCCAAATTGGTCTTTAAAAAATAAAATGACTGTCATCCACGATTTGGAAAGGTCAAAATCTGGAACACTGACAACACCAAAAACTGGAGAGGATACAGAACAACAGGCACTCTCATTCACTGCTGGTGGGAACGAAAATGGTACAACCACGTTGGAAGACAATTTGATGGGTTTCTTACAGAACTAACCATACTCTTAACATACAATCTTGCAATTGTGCTCCTTGGTATTTATGCAAAAGAAATGAAAAATTATGTTTACACAAAACCCTGCACATGGATGTTTATAGCAGTTCATTCATAACTGCCAAAAACTTGGAAGCAACAAGATGTCCTTCAGTAGGTGAATGGATAAACAAATTGTGCTCCATCCAGACAATAGACTATTATTCAGTGCTAAAAATAAATCAGCTATCAGGCCATAAAAAGACAAGGAGGAACCTTAAATGCATATTACTAAGTGAAATAAACCAGTTGGAAAAGGACATACAGTATGATTCCGGTTACGTGATATCTGGTAAAGACAAAACTATGGAGATTTTTACTTTTTCTGGAATAAAACAATCAGTGGTTTCCCAGAGGATGGAGATATGAAGAGCCAGAGAACAGAAAAATTTTATGGCACTGAAAATACTCTTCGTGATACTATAATAATGAATATATGTCATTATACATTTGTCCAAACCCATAAAATGTACACCACCAAGAATGAACCCTAAGACTTTAGAGGATTATGATTATAATGGCTGATAATCTTATCTCTTTACCTATACAGTTTGTTTAAAGTATTTTAAAATTATTAATTGCCCCCCCCCCAAAAGGGTGAATATTGGTAAGTCAACTAAAACTAGGCCTGGAGCCAGAAGAATAGTATGTTTGGTGGAATTCCTATAGAATAGTATGTGGAGGAGGGTGATGGAAAATGAAGCTGGAGAAGCAAATTGAGGCCAAATCATACTGAGGCTCAATCACCTTACTAAAGAATTTGTAATTTAGTCTGGAAATGCCAGGAGTGCTGTTGAAGTGTTTTTTACAGCAATGTTGCTTGATCAGACTTTATGGTTATGTAGTTGTTTCCATTAGAATATTTTCTGCAGCAAATTACATAATCAAAATATGCCATCTCTTATAACAGCAAGTCTATAAGCAGGGGGTACTTCTGGCTCAACTGATTCAGAAGGTCACTGATGTTATAAATTCTTTCTGTTTTCCCCTGCTATTTTCAGCTTTATAAAGCTGTCTTACCTGGAGATCATAAAATGGCTAGGACAGCATACATCCTGGTTCACATCCAGCAGGAGAAACTAGCTTCTCTTTCTCAGAAGCCAAAAGAAAGCCTCTCTTTACCTCCCATTGGCCCAGTTGCCTCACACTAGCCCATCTCTGAACTGAATAATGGCAAAGGGGATAGGACTGCCATGAGGATTTAGATAAATGTGGAGTAGAGTAGTTTTGAAAGAGTCAATCATAGTGTCCCCAAGATTCAGCAAAATAGAGATAGAATTGGAGAAAAATAAGGCTAGAGATAGGGATAATTAGGTGTTTGCCCCAACAGGCCACATGACAGCCTAGTGCTGAGTACCTAAAACTTGAACAACAAAAAATAAAGAGAAGAGGATACATTTGAAAGATATTTAGGAAGTTTATTGATGTTTTATATATCAGTTTCACATTCAATGTTGCTAGATAACATAGGTCTTAGTTTCATTAAAATTAGTTTCATAAACTGCATCTCCTTTATTTCTAATCCCTATATTGCTATACATACACAATAACTATTGAGCTTAGGTTTAAATACTGATCTGTATTTCACTTAATTATAAAATTCTTCAAAATGTCTATGCACATTCAGGTTTGTGTGTGTGTGTGTGTGTGTGTGTGTGTGTGTGTGTGTGTGTGTCTGTCTGTCTGTGCTAACGCTCAGCTATGAACTTAAAAACAAAACACGAAAAGAAAAAACACAAGAGTTTTACTCAGGAAAAGAAAATGACACTGTTTCCATTAGCATGCCTTCTGCAATGACGCCCCAAAATCTTAAATGTGAGCCAGGTAGCTCTCCACTCCAATGGTTGTTCAGATATTTCTCCTTCTGACCTAGAACATGAAGTTAGAGAACCCAAGAGGAATTTTGGACTCACGAGAGTCCAGCAAAATGTAAAGTCATTTTATGTAGAGCAATATTTTAATTTAATATGGTTATTTTAATCTATCAAAACCGCTGCTTTCTGATGGGCTATAGATTTGATGGGCCTTTGACTCCCCCAGGACAGAGTAGGTGCGATCTTTTCATTATGGTTTCAACTGGTCACATTCTAAGTTTACATGTTTGTTTAATTGTTTGTTTGCTGCTGTTACTTTATCTTGTTTTGATTCAAAAGCTCAGGTCAAGGCTCTTATTTTCGAGTATAATAATGATCAATTTTCTATCACTTACCTCACTCCAGGTTTCTCACTGTCCGAATGCCACACCTCCACCACTTCATAATTTACAAAGAACCAGTGTGACTCCATTCAAGAACAAAAGATTAATTGTGAATTAGTGAAGAATTGTAATTTTTTTCAAGCTACCTCATGAGAAATGCATTCTAATGAAGTCCTTTCTGGTACTCCTTTTTCCTACTTCTTCAATAAAGAGTGCAATTTGACCACACATTGACTCTTTTATTTCAAAGCTATTCTGAGTTGACATGGATAAATATAGTCAGTTGGAGGAACACAGGACAATCACGTTGAATGCCCACTTTATTTCAAGTGAGAGGAGATTGGCCTGAGTGAAGGGGGTCCATCTGAAAGAAGGAAATACCCTGACTTTGGAAGCAGGCATAATGCCAATGTAGCAATAGCAAGATTATTGCTCTCCCTGTGCTTTTATTTCACCTACAAAACAGAAGTAATAGTCCTTAGCCCACAGAGTGGATGCAAGGATTAAATGACAATATTACATTTAAAGGACTTAGAACAGCACTTAGCTTATGGTAACCCCTTAATAAGTTATTATTATTTATCCCTTATTAACTCTGATCATTATATCTGTAGCATGATGCTATAGGAGGCCTGATGCACTGTTTCCTATTTTCTAAGAATTGCTGACGAGAGTCCACCTTTGAAAGCAGAAGATATGCCCAATATTCTAAGTTCAAAAAAAATCACTTGAGAGCTTTCTGCGGAGTGCTGTTATGGGTAGAACTGGGTCCCCTAAAAACGATATTTTAGAGTCCTATTCCCCAGTACCTCAGAATATGACCTTATTTGGACATGGAGTCTTTATAGAGGTAAAATTAGATCAACAGGTGGGCCTTATTCTAATGTGACTGGTGTCCTAATAAAGGGGAAATTTAGATACAGAGAGGGACATATACAGTGGGAAGATGGAGTAGAGACATGTAGGAAAAACATCACATGAAGATGGAGGACTGGAGTGATACAACTACTAGCCAAGAAATGCCAAAAATTGCGGGCAACTTTACAGAAGCTAGGAAGACAAAAGGAAGGCTTTTTCTCCTATAGATTTTAGAGGGAGCATGACCTCACCAGTATCTTCATTTAGGACTTCCAGCCTCTAGTACAGTGAGACATTGGTGTCTTTATAGGAATTGCATCAAATTTATAGATTGCTTTGGGTAGTATGGACATTTTAATGATGTTAATTCTTTCAATCCATGAACACGATATGTGTTTCCACTTATTTGGATTTTCTTCAATTTATTTCTTTGGTGTCTTATAATATTTTGAGTAGATAACTTTTACATCCTTGGTTAAATTTATTTCTAGGTTTTTATTCTTTTTTAATCAATTATGAATGGGAATGTTTTCTTCATTTCCCTTTCTGTCAGTTCACTATTGGTGTATAAAAATACATCTGATTTCTGTATATTTATTTTATATCCTGCTACTTTACTGAATTCATTTATCAGTTCTAGTAGTTGGATTCCTCAGGGTTCTCTAATAGAGTACTATGTTATCTCAAGTAAGGACAGTTTTACTCCTTCTAATCCAATTTGAATACCTTTTATTTTTTCTTCTTGTCTGATTGGAGAGAGACACATTCCTTAGTTTGTCAGGGAAGGAAAAAGCTGAGTTTCAGAAGCCCAGAAAGGAGAGTTCTTCTTTTGGTTCCAGTGAAAGATGCTTCTAGAACCTTTGGCTTATTTGGAGTCCTGGATCTCACTGGAATAAGACGGTGGTGAGTTCACTGGTTCTGAATTGGCCACTGGGTTTGTCACGTAGACAGTTTGGAAGACCACAGTGCCCTGAAAAAGACAGGCACAGGAGGTGCATTAGTGCAAACTATGTATGCACAAAGGCCTTTAGACATTCTGGGATTCCCTGTGCACCTGCGTGGGAAGGGGTAGCTAGATGACCTCATTAGTTCTCATACTCTTTGGGGCATCTTTCCACCCACTGAGGATCCTAAAAACTCACGTTGTTATGTGAATAGCGGACCAGTTTGCAGCCAAAGTGGGCAGACATGCAGGCAATGCAGAACCCCAGGAGGATAAAGATGAACAGCACGGCAGAAGTAGCTACTCCAGAGACCTGAAACCAGGAGGAACACAGATGTCATGAGGACTGCCCGGGAGTGTGAGGTCTGGCTCAAAGCATGGCTCTGCAATGGACGATGGTTAGGGCTTTAAGGAAGACCTCTAACCTCATCTCAGCCTCATGGAGAAATGATCTCACCAGGTTTTGTGAGGGTCAAGTGTGTCTGTAAAAGAGTTATTTTAACACTTACTGCCTGTGTTGTTCTAAGGAAAAGAATAGTCATTGTTTAGGGAAACGCGTTAATGATTTCTGTCAGGTACAGGGCACAAGAACTAAGGATGGGGTCTGGAGTAAGTAGTAAAAGAGTGAAACTGTTTCGTGTAGGAAGTGAATAGAAATTTGGGAGTATGGCCAGTCCTCAGAAAGAGCAAAGAAAGATGAATAGAGGAGAAAGATGGGACTTAGAAACATGAAGGGAAAGTGGAATCTGCAAAGAAAGGTATCTTATGAGAAATTAACACATTACAAAGCAGGGATGTCTAACCTCCAGGCATCAGTAGTTACCTCCACCATTCCTCTGAACCTTTAGAGAAAGTCAGTTACTAAAACAATCTTCCTGGCTTGTGACTGTGGCATTTTGAGGAGAGAAGCAATTGGGACTGTCTTTAACTTGGGTAAACAGTCAGTAAAAGGATCCTTAAATGGAACTAATTCCGCAGTAGTCAATTTCAGGTGAGCACCAGGAGACATTTAAGCCCTTCCTTTGCTGTTCTCCAACAATGCTCAGGAAAATGGGATCTCCCACTGTATCAGGGGTGAGTTTAGGTAGAATCCACCTTAATCAAGAAAGGAAATGAGATGAATGACCTCAATAACCATTTGGATTCCAACTACAGGAGAGAATAAATATGAAAGTGAGCCCTAACCGGTTTGGCTCAGTGGATAGAGCATAGGCCTGCGGACCAAGGGGTCCCAGGTTCGATTCTGGTCAAGGGTGTGTACCTTGGTTGCGGGCACATGCCCAGTGGGGAGTGTGCAGGAGGCAGCTGATTGATGTTTCTCTCTCATCAATGTGTCTAGCTCTCTATCCCTCTCCCTCCCTCTCTGTGAAAAAATCAATAAAATATATATTTAAAAAACATATATGATAGTGAAAGTGTATGGCACACTGTAGGCACAAAACAAATGTTTGTCAATTATGATTTTTAAAATGGCATTGGTGAGACGGAAGATGGTGGCGATATAGGCAGATGCATCCCAGGTCGTGTCCCGGAGCAAATGGAGTGAGCAGCTGAAACTAGTAACACCCACACCGAATTGGCGAAATTGCTCAGCTGGCGAGACGGTTTGCAGCCGGGAAGAGCAGAACTCCCCTGGAAAGCAGGTCCAAGCAACAGCAACCTCCTGAGCACCACACCCTCTGCTGAGGAACAGCAGCTGTACGTGAAACCTCGCCCCACCAGCCAGAAGAGCCACCACAGCTGTGAACAGCACCCACCAGAGGAGCTGCTGCCAACTGAAGAGCAGCTGCTACCGCAACCGCCCGAAGAGCAACCACAGACCAAGGAGTCACTGCCACCAAGGGAGCAACCACTGAACGACTCAACATCTAGATATGTCAGTGAGATCAAACATGGGTAGACAAAGAAACCCCCAAAGGAAAGAGAAGGAGGACTCTCCAGAAAAGCAGCTAAGTAATACAGAGGCATGCAACATGACAGAAAAAGAATTCAGAATAAGGGTCCTAGAGTGCATAAACCAGATGGAGGAAAAAATCGACAACCTCTGCAAGAAGCAAGAAGAAACAGATGTAAAAAATCGATAACATATGGAAGAAGCTAGAAGAAACAGATGAAAAAATCAACAACTTAAGTAAGACCCAAGAAGAAATGAAGAGTGATATAGCTGCAATGAAAAACTCCATTGAAAGTATCAACAGTAGACTAGGAGAAGCGGAGGACCGAATTAGTGAATTAGAAGACAAGGAAGCAAAACACACCCAAAATGTACTGCAATTGGAGAAAAAAATTAAAAGACAGGAGGAGAGCCTAAGGGAGCTTTGGGAAAACATGAAATGAAACAACATACGAATAATAGGGGTACCAGAACAACAGAAGGATGAACAAGGATTAGAAAACCTATTCGAAGAAATAATATCAGAATACTTCCCTGAGGTGGGGAAGAAAAAAGTCACACAAGCCCAGAGAGTCCCAAACAAGGTGAACCCGAAAAGACCCACACCAAGACACATCATAATTACCATGGCAAATGTTCAGGACAAAGAGAGAATCTTACAGGCTGCAAGAGAGAGACGGAAAGTTACATACAAGGGATCTCCCATTAAATTGTCAAATGATTTCTCAACAGAAACACATCAGGCCAGAAAAGAATGGACTGAAATTTATAAAGTGATGCAAAGCAAAGCACTGAATCCAAGAATACTCTATCCAGCAAGGCTATCATTCAAACTTGAAGGGGAAATAAGAAGCTTCACAGACAAAAAAAGGCTAAGGGAGTTTATCACCACCAAGCCAGCAATGCAAGAAATTCTAAAGGGACTGGTATAAAAATAAGAAATAAAAAGCTCAGAAAGAAAACAGCCACACAAAAAAAGAAATGGCTACAAACAAGTACCATTAAATAATAACTTTAAACGTAAACGGACTAAATGCTCCAAACAAAAGACATCGAGTGGCTGAATGGATAAAAAAACATGACCCACACATCTGCTGTCTACAAGAAACCCACCTCATTAGAAGGGACTCACACAGACTGAAAGTGAAAGGATGGAAAAATATCTTTCAGGCAAATGGAAAGGAAAAGAAAGCTGGGGTAGCAATACTTATATCAGACAAAATAGACCTCAAAGTGAAGGCCATAACAAGAGATAAGGAAGGCCACTTCATAATACTAAAGGGATCAATACAACAAGAAGATATAACCCTGGTAAACATATATGCACCCAATGCAGGAGCACCCAAATTCATAAAAAAACTCCTGGAAGATATCAAAGGAGAGATCGACAACAATACAATCATAGTAGGGGACTTTTATACACCACTGACAACACTGGATAAGCCCTCTAGACAAACAATCAGCAAAGATACAGCAATCCTAAATGACTCACAGGATCAGATGGACTTAATAGACATCTTCAGAACACTTCACCCCAAAGCCAGGGAATATACATTCTACTCAAATGCTCATAAGACATGTTCAAAAATAGACCATATATTGGGTCACAAGCAAAGTATCCCCAAATTCAAGAAGATTGAAATCATAAAAAGCGTCTTCGCAGACCACGATGGCATATTATTAGAAATAAACTACAATAAAAACAACCCAAAATACTCAAACACCTGGAAGCTGAATAGCATGCTATTAAATATTGATTGGGTTACCAATGAAATCAAAGAAGAAATTCGAAACATCCTGGAAACTAATGACAATGAAAACACAACAATCCAAAACCTATGGGGCACAATGAAAGCAGTCCTGAGAGGGAAGTTTATAGCTCTACAGGCCTATCTCAAAAAACAAGAAAAAATGGTAGTAAATCATCTAACTCTACAACTCAAAGAATTAGAAAGAGAGCAACAAGAAAACCCCAAAGTGAGCAGAAGGAAGGAGATAAAGATTAGAGCAGAAATAAATGACATAGAGACCAAAAAAACAATACAGAAAATCAATGAAACCAAGAGCTGGTTCTTTGAAAGGATAAACAAGATTGACAAACCTCTAGCCAGACTCACCAAGAAGCAAAGAGAGAGGACCCAAATAAACAAAATCAGAAATGATAGAGGCGAAATAACAACAGACCCCACAGAAATACAAATGATTGTTAAAAAATACTATGGACAGCTCTACACCAACAAACTAGACAAACTAGACAACCTGGAAGAAATGGACAAATTCCTAGAAAAATACAACATTGCAAAACTCAATCAGGAAGAATCTAAAAATCTCAACAGGCCAATAACTATGGAAGAAATTGAAGCAGTCATCAAAAAGCTTCCATCAAACAAAAGCCCAGGACCAGACGGCTTCACAGGGGAGTTTTACCAAACATTCAAGGAAGAACTAAAACCTATCCTCCTCAGACTACTACAAAAAATTCAAGAGGAAGGAACACTTCCAAGCTCATTCTATGAAGCCAGCATCACCCTAATACCAAAACCAGGTAAAGACAACACAATGAAAGAGAATTACAGGCCAATATCCCTCATGAACATAGATGCCAAAATCCTCAACAAAATCTTAGCAAATCAGATCCAGAAGTACATCAGAAAGATCATACACCATGACCAAGTAGGATTTATCCCAGGGATGCAAGGATGGTACAATATCCGCAAATCAATAAACATGATACATCACATAAACAAATTGAAAGAAAAAAACCACATGGTCATATCAATTGATGCAGAAAAAGCATTTGACAAAATTCAACACCCATTTTTGATAAAAGCTCTCAGCAAGGTGGGAATAGAAGGATCATACCTCAACATAATAAAAGCCATATATGACAGGCTCGCAGCCAACATCATACTCAATGGACAAAAACTAACACCATTTCCCCTAAGAACAGGAACTAGACAGGGATGCCCCCTCTCACCACTCCTGTTCAGCATAGTACTGGAAGTGTTAGTCATTGCAATTCAGCAAGAAGAAGAAATAAAAGGCATCCAAGTTGGAAAAGAGGAAGTAAAACTGTCCTTAGTTGCAGATGACATGATATTATACATACAAAACCCTAGAGACTCCATCAAAAAGCTACTAGACTTAATACATGAATTTGGCAATGTAGCAGGATACAAAATTAACCCCAAGAAATCTGAGGCATTTCTATACACCAATAGTGAACTTTCAGAAAGAGAGATTATAAAAACAATCCCGTTTACCATTGGACCAAAAAAATTAAGCTACCTAGGAATAAACTTAACTAAAGAGGTAAAAGACCTCTACTCAGAAAACTACAGGACGTTGAAAAAAGAGATAGAGGAAGACATAAACAGATGGAAGAACATACCGTGTTCATGGATTGGTAGAATCAACAACATCAAAATGTCCATACTACCCAAAGCAATCTATAAATTCAACGCACTTCCCATTAAAATATCAATGGCATACTTCAGAGATCTAGAACGAACTCTCCAAAAATTCATCTGGAATAAAAAAAGACCCCGAATAGCTGCAGCAATCCTGAAAAGGAACAAAGTAGGTGGGATCTCAATACCAGATATCAAGTTGTATTACAAAGCCACTGTTCTCAAAACTGCCTGGTACTGGCACAAGAATAGGCATATAGATCAATGGAATAGAATAGAGAGCCCAGAAATCGGCCCGAACCAATATGCTCAATTAATATTTGACAAAGGAGGCAAGAACATACAATGGAGCCAAGATAGTCTCTTCAATAAATGGTGTTGGGAAAATTGGACAGATATATGCAAGAAAATGAAACCAGATCACCAACTTACACCATACACAAAAATAAACTCAAAATGGATAAAGGACTTAAATGTAAGATGGGAAACCATAAAAATACTAGAGGAATCCAAAGGCAACAAAATCTCAGACATATGCTGAAGCAATTTCTTCACTGATACAGCTCCTAGGGCACTTGAAACTAAAGAGAAAATGAACAAATGGGACTACATCAAAATAAAAAGCTTCGGCACAGCAAAAGAAACCATCAACAAAACAATGAGAAAACCCACTGTGTGGGAAAACATATTTGCCAATGTCATATCTGATAAGGGCCTAATCTCCAAAATTTATAGGGAACTCATACAACTTAACAAAAGGAAGATAAACAATCCAGTCAAAAAATGGGCAAAGGACCTAAATAGACACCTTTCAAAAGAGGACATTCAGAAAGCCAAGAGACATATGAAAACATGCTCAAAGTCACTAATCATCCAAGAGATGCAAATCAAAACAACAATGAGGTACCATCTCACACCTGTCAGACTGGCTGTCATCAACAAATCAACAAACGACAAGTGCTGGAGAGGATGTGGAGAAAAAGGAACACTTGTGCACTGCTGGTGGGAATGCAGACTGGTGCAGCCACTATGGAAGACAGTATGGAGTTTCCTTAAAAAACTGAAAATGGAACTCCCATTTGACCCTGTGATCCCACTTCTAGGAATATATCCCAAGAAACCAGAAACACCAATCAGAAAGGATATATGCACCCCTATGTTCATAGCAGCACAATTCACCATAGCTAAGATCTGGAAACAGCCTAAGTGCCCATCAGTAGATGAATGGATTAGAAAACTGTGGTACATCTACACGATGGAATACTATGCTGCTCTAAAAAGGAAGGAACTCTTACCATTTGCAACGTCATGGATGGAACTGGAGAGCATTATGCTAAGTGAAATAAGCCAGTCAATAAAGGAAAAATACCACATGATCTCACTCATTCATGGATAATAGAGACCATTATAAACTTTTGAACAATAATAGATACAGAGGCAGAGCTGCCTCAAACAGATTGTCAAACTGCAGCGGGAAGGCCGGGGAGGGTTGGGGGGCAGGAGGTAGGGGGGTAATAGATCAACTAAAGGACTTGTATGCATGCATATAAGCATAACCAATGGACATAAGACACTGGGGGATAGGGGAGGCTAGGGTACTGTCTAGTGCGGGGGGATAAAATGGACACATATGTAATACCCTTTGTAATACTTTAAGCAATAAAAAAAATAAATAAATAAAAACATAAAATGGCATTGGTGATAGCTGCCTGCTCAGAGAATCCTCCCTCGTGGAGAGACCCCTCCTTAGCACTTTCCTTCTCTTCCCTCTCAATTTATCAAGCACTTATTAAACATCTGTTTGCTACGAAAGACTGAGAAAGCATCCCGAGAGGCAAAATCTGGTGAGGGAGGCAGATACAGATGGAGGTAGTCATAATTTAAATCAGACTTAGTAAGAGCTAGAAAAGAGCCAAAATAGTGCCTTGGGGCACGAGGAGACACTGATTCATTCTCAGTAGAAGATTCAATGATGTGGGGTTGGTGTCTAGGCAAAGGGAACGGCAGGATGGTGATGCCTTAGTCAAGGAATCACAGAAGCATGGGGAGGAGGAGCCTTTACAAATGATGCTGGTCCTTTTCAAATCTGTTTTTTAAACAAAAACAGTTTTATAAAGAAAGTTTCTAATAGGAGGAGGGCTGGGGGGATGGGTTAAAATGGTGAAGGTTATTAATAAGCACAAATAGGGAGTTATAAAAATAGTCACAGGGAGGTAAATTAAAGTACAATATATAGTATGTAGTCACCTCATAAGTTATATCTGTCTAATCCTTATGCTGTATACCTGAAACTAATATAGTATTGTATATCAACAGTAATTGAAAAATAAAATAAAAAACACCCTCCCACGAGGAAGAAGGGTTCCTCAAGCAGCTTAGTTACTATTTGGAGAGTATTATTAACGCTTGTTGAGATCTTAGAGCACCCTGTCCCTTGGGTCATCTTTTGCTAAGCTATGTTGAAGTCCAGCCCTCCTTCTTCTGGAGTGAGGCCAAAAGTGTGGGGGTGGCCAGAATGGAAGAGTTCCTATCAGAAATTGGCAGAACTGAGATTAGAAGTCAGGTGGTGGTGGCTCTAGCCCAGGGGTGGGCAAACTTTTTGACTCAAGGGCCACAATGGGTTCTTAAACTGGACCGGAGGGCCGGAACAAAAGCATGGATGGAGTGTTTGTGTGAACTAATATCAATTCAAAGTAAACATCATTACATAAAAGGGTACGGTCTTTTTTTTCAATAGTTTTATTCATTTCAAACGGGCCGGAAACATGGAAAGTGATACTAAGAAAAGTCACATGCTTAGAGTAATAGCAATAAAGCTACAGGTAAGGGACTTGAAACTGTTGTGATTCTGAGAACACCTCTGTTTTCTTTGGTGTTTGGTGAAGAAGCTTGGTGGGGTTTTCCAATGATTTCCAAAGGTGAAGCCCAAAGGAGCATTGGTCAAGAGGGATACTTACCATTTCACTGCAAGGATGGGAGCTGTTGTGGACATATAAGGAGTTGATAACCATATCTGCAATGAAGAGCATGATTCCAAGCACAGAGCAGACTGCACTGGCAATACTCAGGCCCATGCTACCTTTCAGCTGAAGAAGACACAGAGGGACAGTATGAGAGAGGGAAACAATTGCAGCTGAGATGAGCAGAGACTCAACAAGTGCTTCATAATGTGAATTCATAGAACTCTAGATGTGAGGCAAGTAAAGAGATATATTTTTCAAAATGGATTTGATGGAAAATTAACTTTGAAAACACCTGGGTTGAACAAAGTTAAATAGGTCTTTTGTGCAGGACTTCTCAGAGTCTTTAACAAGGATTAAGGATCACCTAGAGAGAAATCCCTCCCAAGTTTATCTAACCATCTTCATGAAGTATCTCATGGGATAAGTATCCCATGAATAATGTTTAGGAAACACTTGACTCATTTATCTCACAGGAAATGGCCTGAAAATTTAGCCCAAGTGTTTTAGGATGTGACAGGTTCTGATGCTCCATGATTCTGGCCCATGTGCAGAGAGGCATGCCCAGAATTGATCTTCCCTGTGGAGATTTTAAAATAGATCTCATCTGGTTTGGGACTGGTTCAGTTTGGGGCTCCTTGCCCCACATAACCTGCTCATAAGAGAAACAAAGGTACTTTTTTGGTCCAGTGCTTGAGGACCACAAAGCCTTGCCCATGTTAATTCACAGAACTTGTTTGGAAGGATTCCTTTGCCTGAGCCTCCCCTGGCTTCCCTGTAGAAATGTTGGAACTGGGCTCCATGTGCTGCAGACAGTCAGTGCCTGCTCTGCTGGAGGGGAGCCCTGCACCCCAGGTAGCTTTTTGCCTCCTCTTGTAAGATCCTCTTAGGAAAGTTATTCTCTCTGTCTCTCCACACCCTGATGCTGCACTTCCTTCCACCGAATCTTCTGGACTCTTTCCCATTTGTGGTTCTGTCCTGGTTCATGTGGTCTTGTAAGTGAGTATGAGTGAGCATGCGTGTCAGTGCCTGTGTCTGGTTATAAGTAGGTGCAAGGATGAAGGAGACATTGTGTGTGAGCTTCTTTCCCCTGCTGTGTGTCTCTCCTAAGAGTCCATGGTTCAGAGAGCCTGTCTCAGGATGTGACTTACCAGGCAAGAAGATCTTGGTAGCTGTTCTGATGCTACTGAGAGGGATCCTGAAATGATGAACTGGCACAGAAGAGAGGGAGTTTAGAAAGTGGTTACAGGTCAGGGCCCCACCTCCAGGCTTCCATGTTTTTGGTCTCACACATATTCTCTCATACATGCTAGGATCCTCTACTGGGACCTCCCACTCAACTTGTGGAAAATAAATCAATTCATTAATAAAGGAAGGAAGCGAAAAAGGAAGGAAAGAAGGGAGGAAGAGCTATTTTGCATCACTAGACAGGGCAGTGAATTGGGATAATATATCTTTTAGAATCCAGTATACCTGGTTTTAAACTCTAACTTGAAACTCATGTGATCTTAGGTAAGTTATTAATTTTTCTTAGTGTATATTTCCTCTTCAAAAAATGGGAGAAACTATATATCTTCCTAAGTGTTATTATCATGAGACTAGAGGCCCGGTGCATGAAAATTCATGCACTCGGGGGGATCTCTCATCCCAGCCTGCACGCTCTCACAATCTGGGACCCCTCAGGTAGGGTCCAGTCCCATCGCAGCATGGCTCTGATTTCCAGGGCCTGCGGGCCAGGGTGGGGAGGGACCAAGATTCCCGGATTGCAGCATGGCTCTGGTTCCCCAGAGCCTACGGGCACCAGAGGCCAGTCTGATGACAGCATGGCTCCATTCCCACAGCTCCCTCCCACCGCCATCCCACAGGCCACCAGGACCCAGGACTGACTCCCGCCACGCCGGCCAGGACCCTAGCCTGGTGTTCGGTTGTCCATCCAGATGTTTAGGTCATGACAGACCCTGGTTCTTTATGTATGAGGATAATTTGTCACTTGCCTCTAACATTTAGATCCTGTACATAGTAGATCCTGTACATCAAGCATGTCAAACTCACTGCCTGCGGGCTGCATTAGGCCCACAACAAATATTTTTGCAGCCCAGCCAATATAATGGTATGTAAGAAACATTTTAATAAAAGTGTTGTTACTTAATTTTTATAATATCCTGTTATACATAATTATTAATAACAAAGTACAATGTTCGATAATGACTGATTATCATAATCGTGTTGCATTCATTTCCCTTACTTGCCTTATGTGCAGGCTCACCATTTCTCTCCACTAATACTAGCAGCGAATATTTTAGCAGCCAATTGCCACGTCATTAGTCTTGGACTGATTTGTTTGGTGTGCACAACAGGAAATACTTCACTTTCGGAGAACAAGAAAATAGGTTTATTTGCGTTACATTTATTAATTTGTGTAGTTATTCAGTTTCTGGTAAGTTAATGTTTAAGAAAAAATATTAATTTTTATTAAAATGTTCTATTATTTTATGTTAATTATTACTCATTTATTTCAGCCCTTTGTATACAGCATGCCCCTATTGAAATAAACCTACATTTCTATGAAAATTGAAGCTTTTGTTTTTTTGCGACCCACATGAACTTAAACCTTGTTTATTTGGCCTGTGTTAGACTTTGAGTTTGACATGCTTGCTGTACATAGTAGATACTCAATACAATTACTTCTTTTATTGCCTTTTATTTTCCCACATGCATATCTTGTTGGCCTCCCAGAAGAAAAATGGCATTCCTCTTAGAAGGTACAGGTGGCTAGAGTAAGTTTTCATTGTGAACACCAATACTCAGGCACGGGGGCTCTGGAGGGAAGAAGGAAGGGGTTCTTGCATTTTCACTGCTTTGAGATACAAGCCCAAGGTCAGTCTTTGCCCATCTACAATTTGGTGAGTACCTTTTAGTCCTTTTAGTTACTCAGAAGAATGCTGCATCTCTATGGTGTGGAACAACTACGAGTGTAACAGGTAGATTGAGTGCATTTATTTCAACATTGGTGTTCTGCAAGCATAGTGGCTAATGGGATTCCCTGATATTAGTGAGGGTCAGGGAGGGCATCAGGTATGGTTTAATAAATGCTTTACTCAGCCCTATGTAAACTGCTGGTCCTTCTGAGGTACCTAAGGAGAGGGCCTTTGGTTTGAAGGAGGACGATATGATCTTTAGGAAATAGATAGTCCTGGAGTCAAAAGGCAACAAAGAGCCTAAGTGTCCTGCAGGAAGAAGGGAGTGTGTTGTCATGAGGGCTGATGAGACCTGAGCAGCCTGGTGGAAGGGGAGATGGCCACTAAGGCCTTTGAGATGCCTAAGAGAATCTAATATTCAATAGGAACTGTTTTGTGGCTGTGGTGTTAGTCTTCTCCATTTCCCCAACTTCACAGAAGTCTGGTATACACACAGGTGTCTGTGGTTGGCTGAGTTCCAAATTTGGGTCTGTGCAAAACAGTGAGAGGCCCTAGGCCTCAGAAGATGAGACACGAATGGGATCAAGAGAGAGCAGGTGCTCAGTTAAAAATACTCCCAAGAATCTAAATCCTACCATTTTGCAGATGCTGTGTGTGTGTGTGTGTGTGTGAGGGTGGTGGACAACTATAGGCTATTTTATTTAAATATCATGGTATATGGTGACTTGACTGATGTCCAGGTTACTCTGGAGTTTTATCATTTGTGAGAAAAGTTGCCTTGGGTTATAGATATGTGAGTTGAGAGAAAAACTTATAGCCGGTAGAAAAAGAGATGGTTGGTGAGAAAAGGATTGGATTGCATGGTGTGTGTGTGTGTGTGTGTGTGTGTGTGTGTGTGTGTGTGTGTGTAGGAGGGAAGACACTAAGGAAAATGGAAAAGAATCATAAAGGCAATATATTGGAGAAGAGAAAGGACCTGTTGTTCTTAACCTTTTAAGGGGTTCTAGATCACCCTGAGAATGTGATAAAAATGGTGGGCTTTTCCAGAAAAAACAAGCAAACAAAAATATCTAATATAACAAATATTTTGCAAAACGGTGGACTCTGAGCCCATCAGTGAACTCCAGATTGAGTCCCTACTGCTTCATGACTGTTCTGTGACTGGACAGACACTCTTAACCCTGGTGGAAATGTTCTTCTCCTGGAGCTCCAGCTGTGGGCCTGATTTGAACAACATGTGTGCACTGGGCTGATGAACTAGGAAAAGGTTTCCTTACCTCTGAGGTGGGCTAATTAGAAAGCTGCTCACTTGCAGGGCTGTCGCTTGTTATTACCTGTATTTTATCTCCTCATAATCCATCTTTTGAAGTCCAAACCCTGAGGACCTCCAAATGTGACTGTAGAGTTGTTTCCAGACTCACTATAGTTGGACTTCTATTTTTTTTTACTTTATAGTGGTGTGAAAACCTTATGCATTCAATACAAACTGTACTTTGGATTTTGAATTTTTATCGTTCCCAGGTGAGCAACATGTGGTAAGATACTCTCTGGTGATGCTGGACAGAAGCAGCCAGCCTGAGCTCCCTGTCAGCCATGAGATCATGATGGTAAACCACTATTCTCTGTAGTGTAGTATTTAATGCACTTTTCTTAAAAAATATTTTTATTACTGATTATAGAGAGGAAGGGAGAGGGAGAGAGAGATAGAAACATCAATGATGAGAGAGAAACATTGATTGGCTGCCTCCTGTGTGCCCCACCTTGGGAATCGAGGCCTCAACGCAGGCGCATGCCCTTGACCGGAATCGAACCCGAGACCTTTCAGTCAGTAGGCCGACACTCTATCCACTGAGCCAAACCAGCTAAGGAAGACTCAGGATATTTTCAATTTACGATGGGTTATTGAAATGTAACTCTATCATAAGTTGAAGAGGATCTAAATTTGAAGATAGGGACTTTAAAGAAGTGATTAAAGTTAAATGAGGTTATATGGGTGGGCCCTAATCCAGTATGACTGATGTTCTTATAAGAAGAGATATGAGGACACAAACACACACAAAGGGTAAACCAGGTGAAGGCACCGGAGGAAGATGACCATCTACATGTCAAGGAGAAAGGCCTTGGAAGAAACAACCCTTCCCACACCTTGGTCTTGGACTTCCAGCATCCGGAACTATGAGATAATAAATATCTGTTGTTTAGCCACCCAGTCTGTGGTTTCCAAGAGGACTAATATTCTTGGTGAACAAGGCCTGAGCTGGTTTCACAGCCCACATGCTCTATTGAGGTGGACTAATTAGAAAGCTATTGGCCGGAAATTTTCTGCAGCAAAATACACCACTTGCTAAGGTGGAACTGAGTATGTTGGCACTTTCTGGAACTCACTTGCAGGGCGACTGACATTACTTACCAAGATGCCTCCCCAGAAGGGATAGCCTCCATAGAATGAGACACTTACGAAGGTCCCAGGCAGCATGGTCCCCAGGATGATGCCCAGGCCAATGTGTATCAGGCCGATCAGGATCTGGATGGCCTGTCAGGGGAGCCAGAAGCTGACACCTTTGTTTTTCAGGCTGGATCTTAACCCTGTTCCCTTGTGCTTCCTTTTAATTTTAATAAATATTTTGTTCTCTTGGTCAATAAAGTCCTATTTAAAATGTATAATTGAAACAATACTTCCCATAATTTCACCCCACTCAAAGAAAACAACCACTTATATTTTGGTGTATAGCCTTCGATTATTTTTTTCAAATATATACACTGATAATACAAAATGACTGCATATTTAACTTAATATTTCATGATCAATATGTTCCCATGGTATTAAGTATTCTCTGAATATATGTTTTTTTAAGGATTGCCCAGATATATTAGGCAGGTATAATATGTTTCCATATTATAAACAACACTGCAATGAACATCATTTTGTAGATAAGTCTTTGTGCTCATCTTTTATTTCTTTGAAATATTGTTTTGGATTTGATTGGGTCTTCTCTCCCTCATATATATGGCTAAGCGACCATCCCACTGTCCAACTGGTAGCTATGACATGCGATGACTATCAGAGGGGCAGACACTCTCTGACTGGTAGCTATGATGCTCACTGACCCCCAGGTTGCAGACACTCAACACAAGAGCTGCTGATCTATGGTGACTTGGCAGCAGCGTTTCTCAGGTGACGCACCCTGGAGCTATAGGAGGGAGCCCAATTCTGGGGTGTGTCACCTGAGAACCACCCTTTTGCAATCCGGAACCCCTTGGGGGATATCAGAGGACCAGTTTTGGCCCAATCCTAGCAGGCCAGGCCGAGGGACCCCACCTGCTGGAGGTACCCTGCTCACTCCACAGACGCCCTTCAAGGTGTAGGACCACCCCAGGTGCAGCCAGCCGGGAAGGGACCATGGGAGGTTGGCTCCAGGGCATGTCCAGCCAGTCTCGCCCAGTCCTGCCCCGCCAGCCACCTTCTAATTAATTTCCTTTCAATGTGTATGAATCCATGCACCAGTGCACTGGCATATATATATATATATATTTAATCTTTTCATGAGGATATTTTTTGCATTGATATTTAAAGAGAGCAGAAGGGAGAGACTGTGGGAGATAGAGTGGCAGAGAGAGAGAAAGAGAGAGAGAGAGAGAGAGAGAGAGAGAGAGAGAGAGAGAGAGAGAGAGAGAGAGAGAGAGAGAGAGAGAGAGAGAGATACTGAAATACTGATGTGCGTGTGAGAGACACATCAATTGGCTGCCTCCCACAGGTATGTGCCCTTGACCAGTAATCAAACCTGTGACCCTTTGGTACACAGTCTGACATTCTAACAACTGAGCAACTCTGACCAGGGCTCAAATTAATATTTTGAAGTTCAAATCTCCAATGCCTCAGAATGGGATCTTATTTAGAAATATGGTTGCTATAAATGTAGTTAGATAATATGAAATATACTATCATAGCATGGTCCCTATATGACTGCTATCTTTTTAAAGGAATTCCATGTGAAGAGAAACGTGCACATAGGAGAATGCCAAATGGGAGTTATGCTGCCACAAGCCAAGGACCTACTGGAAGCTAGGAGACTGGCCTGGAACAGATCCACCCCTAGAACCTTAAGAGGGAGCTTGGCTGCATGGATATTATGATTACAAACTTATGAACTGAGACAGTAAATTCCTTGTGTTCTAAGCTACCCCATTGGTAGTACTTTATGACAGCTGTAGGAAACATATATATTCTTGCCCAAATGATACACACACACACACACACACACACACAAGCACACACACACACATATTTGTACATGTATATATATATTTGTATATGTGTACATAGCACAAACATGACAGAGAATACAAATACTGTATATTATTTCATTAAATTTTCACAAATGGTAGCAAATTATATGAAATGTCTGCCCCCAATCACTTTTCTCAATAATGATATAACTTGGAGGTATGTCCATATAATGACACAAGAAGCCAAGGAGTTTTGTTTTTATCTAAAAAAGATATTTTGTATTTAAAAATATGCTATCATTGATTTTAGAGAGAGAGGAAGAAGAGGGGGAGAGAGAAACATTGTTGAGAAAGAAACATTGATTGGATGTCTCTTGCACAACCCCTACTGGGGATGGCGTCTGCCAGTGGGCATGTGCCTTGGCTGGGAATAGAGCTGGCAACCTCTGAATACATGGTATGATGGTCAAACAACTGAGCCACACCAGCCAAGGCAAAGAGCTTCCTTTGTATAGCGCCATCACATTTCATTCTTTAGACATATAATATATAGGTTTAACTGATATTATATTGATGAATACTTTGGTTGTTTCCATTCTTTTCCTATTTTAACAGGGTATAGGGCAGTGATGGCGAACCTATGACACGAGTGTCAGAGGTGACACGCGAACTCATTTTTTTGGTTGATTTTTCTTTGTTAAATGGCATTTAAATATATAAAATAAATATAAAAAATATAAGTCTTTGTTTTAATATGATTGCAAATATCAAAAAATTTCTATATGTGACACGGCACCAGAGTTAAGTTAGGGTTTTTCAAAATGCTGACACACCGAGCTCAAAAGGTTTGACATCACTAGTATAGGGTATAAAAAACATTACATCTAATTGATTAATCAAAGATTAAAAGTAAGAATATACTAACAAAACTTACAGTCTAAAATATTAATAATTTCATATTTAAGCAGAAGCAATTCCAGTTCCCCTTTTCACTGGCCTCTACCATAAATGTGTAGTAGGTGCCGATGGCTTGCAAGGCCTGTAACATCCTGATGCCAGAAATAAAACCCACAGAGAGAGAGAAAAAAACAGGTGCTGATAGACATGAAAAAGATCATCAAACACCCATGAGAGCTGAAATGTGAAACTAATGTCATCAGAATGCCTTAATACCCTTTTTCCAAAATCCCTCTATAAAAGCCTTTTGTCTATCCTGAGGTGTTAAGATGGTTGCTAAGGCATGAGCCTGCCATCTTCTCAGGTAGTCAGCACCTAAATAAATCACTTTCCTTCCTTCCATCAGCAACGGTGTCGTATATTTGGCTTCACAGCAGCAGGCAAAAGACAATGAGGGTAGTTTGTGCCAGTTTCACTATAACAAACTGAGCTGCAATAAATAACTTCATACATATCATATTTCTTATGTGTACAAGCATGTCTGAAGGACAAGTCTCAGAAATTGAATTATTGTGTATTTTAAAATTTGGTAGATACAGATAGCCCTCCATACAGGTTGTATCCATTGACATTACTATGAGTTGTATATGGGGGTGAAGCTAGGATTTGAACCAAGGCAGTCTGAATCAGAATTCATACTAGCCTTACCCTTGCTGGTATGGCTCAGTTGATAGAGCATTGGCCTGTGGACCAAAGGATCCCGGGTTCCATTCTGGTCAACAGCACGTATCTTGGTTGCAGGCTCCTCCCCTGCCCAGGCCCAGGCCCTGATCCAGGTGCATTCAGGAGGCAACAAATCAATGTGTTTCTCTCACATCAATGTTTCTCTCTGTCTTTCTCTCTCTCTTTCCCTCTCTCTAAAAGACCAATGGATAAATATCCTCAGGTGAGGATTAACAACAACAACAACAACATCAACAACAACAACAGAGAATCCAAGTGTGTTTTCATTCACCCAAGCAATGAAATGGGCTTTCCCTTATCCCACCCAGCACATTGGGTTTAGAATCTTCCTTCTGGTTCACTGGACCCATCTTCTTCCAGAGGCCACATGGGTCAACATGGATACAGGCAACAGGACCAACATTTCAATTTACTGCTTCTTTGTTGCTTTTCTTTCTCTTTACTAAAATACCCAAGATAGATAGTACAAGGTCCCACACGGAGGCCCTGGTGATGCTGTATTGCTGAGCTTCTTAATAGACCTGAGTTTGGCAAGACTGGGTCAGTTCCAGCCCCACTTGCTGGATTTGGAGTTTCTATATTTCCAAATTTCCTCCCATCCCTGACTCCAGCCATGTGGCCAGTGAACACAATATGAAATCTCACTTACCCCTAAAACATTGGCCTCTTTTAAGGATCTCTGGGCAGGTTGCATAGGCACAGGCGGCTCCAAACCAGGTGGGTTCCCTGAAATTTGGTGGACTTGGGGTTGGTTGAGTGGATACACGGGCACCTGAGACATGCTTCCCTTCACAAACACAGGATTGGCTATGGGGCCTTCTGAAGTCATCAGATTCATGCTGTTAAGGTATAAAGGCAATAAAGTCATCCCTCATATGTGCACTAATGTTTACATTGAAAAAGGACTTCTGATGGAATCTTTAGGGTTTTTTATGTACAATATCATGTCATCTGAGAATAAGGACAGTTTTACTTCTTCTTTTCCAATTTGGATGCCTTTTATTTCTTCTTCTTGTCTAATTGCAATGGCTAATACTTCCAGTACTATGTCGAAGAGGAGTGGTGAGAGTGGGCATCCCTGTCTTGTGCCTGTTCTTAGGGGAAATGGTTTTACTTTTGTCCACTAAGTATGATGTTGGCTCTGGGTTTGTCATATATGGCTTTTATTATGTTGAGGTATGATCCTTCTATTCCCACCTTACTGAGAGTTTTTATCAAAAATGGGTGTTGGATTTTGTCAAATGCTTTTTCTGCATCAATTAATATGACTATGTGTTTTTTTCTCTCAATTTGTTAATGTGATGTATCACGTTTAATGATTTGCAGATATTGTACCATCCTTGCATCCCTGAGATAAATCCTACTTGGTCATTGTGTATGATCTTTCTGATGTACTGCTGAATCCGATTTGCTAAGATTTTGTTGAGGATTTTGGCATCTATGTTCATGAGGGATATTGGCCTGTAATTCTCTTTCATTGTGTTGTCTTTATCTGGTTTTGGTATTAGGATGATGCTGGCTTCATAGAATGAGCTTGGAAGTGTTCCTTCCTCTTGAATTTTTTGGAATAGTCTGAGGAGGATAGGTTTTAGTTCTTCCTTGAATGTTTGGTAAAACTCTGTGAAGCGGTCAGGTCCTGGGCTTTTGTTTGCTGGAAGCTTTTTGATGACTGCCTCAATTTCTTCCATAGTTATTTTTAGATTAATAAATGAATTCAGCAATGTAGCAGGATACAAAATTAACACCAAGAAATCTATGGCATTTCTATACACCAATAATGAACTTACAGAGAGATTTAAAAAGCAATCCCATTTACCATAGCACCAAAAAAATTAAGATACCTAGGAATAAACTTAACTAAAGAGGTAAAAGACCTCTACTCAGAAAACTACAGGATGTTGAAAAAAGAGATAGAGGAAGACATAAACAGATGGATGAACATACCATGTTCTTGGATTGGTAGAATCAACATCATTAAAATGTCCATACTACCCAAAGCAATCTATAAATTCAACGCATTTCCATAAAAATACCAATGACATATTTCACAGAACGAGAACGAACTCTCCAAAAATTCATCTGAAATAAAAAAAGACCCCGAATAGCTGCAGTGATCCGGAGAAAGAAGAACAAAGTATGTGGGATCTCAATACCAGGTATCAAACTGTATTACAAAGCCACTGTTCTCAAAACTGCCTGGTACTGGCACAAGAACAGACATATAGATCAATGGAATAGAATAGAGAGCCCAGAAATCGACCCAAATCACTATGCTCAATTAATATTTGACAAAGGAGGCAAGAACATACAATGGAGCCAAGATAGTCTCTTCAATAAATGGTTTTGGGAAAATTGGACAGATACATGCAAGAAAACGAAACCAGACCACCAACTTACACCATACACAAAAATAAACTCAAAATGGATAAAGGACTTAAATGTAAGATGGGAAACCATAAAAATACTAGAGGAATCCAAAGGCAACAAAATCTCAGACATATGCTGAAGCAATTTCTTCACTGATACAGCTCCTAGGGCATTGGAAACTAAAGATAAAATAAACAAGTGGGACTACATCAAAATAAAAAGCTTCTGCACAGCAAAAGAAACCATCAACAAAACAACAAGAAAGCTCACTGCATGGGAGAACATATTTGCCAATAGTATCACCGATAAGGGTTTAATCTCCAACATTTATAGGGATCTCATACAACTTAACAAAAGGAAGATAAACAATACAATCAAAAAATGGGCAAAGGACCTAAATAGACACTTTTCATAAGAGGACATTCAGAAAGCCAAGAGACATATGAAAACATGCTCAAAGTCACTAATCATCTGAGAGATGCAAATCAAAACAACAATGAGATATCATCTCACACCTGTCAGAATGGCTATCCTCAACAAATCAACAAACGACAAGTGCTGGAGAGGATGCGAAGAAAAGGGAATACTCGTGCTCTGCTGGTGGGAATGCTGACTTTTGCAGCCACTATGGAAGACAGTATGGAGTTTCCTCAAAAAGTTAAAAATGGAACTCCCATTTGACCCTGTGATCCCACTTCTAGGAATATATCCCAAGAAACCAGAAACACCAATCAGAAAGGATATATGCATCCTTATGTTCATAGCAGCATAATTCACCATAGCTAAGATCTGGAAACAGCCTAAGTGCCCATCAGCAGATGAATGGATTAGAAAACTGTGGTACATCTACACAATGGAATACTATGCTGCTGTAAAAAAGAAGGAATTCTTACCATTTGCAACAGCATGGATGGAACTGGAGAGCATTATGCTAAGTGAAATAAGCCAGTCATTGAAAGAAAAATACCACAGGATCTTACTCACTTATGGATAATAAAGACCATTAGAAACTGATGAACAAAAATAGATACAGAGGCAGAACAGCATTGAACAGACTGTCAAACTACAGTGGGAAGCCCGGGGAGGATTGGCGTGTGGGGGTGGGTAAGAGATCAACCAAAGGACTTGTATACATGCATATAAGCATAACCAATGGACACAAGACACTGGGCGGTGGGGGGTGGGGGGGGAACACCAGAGGAATGTCAAGGGCGCGGGGAAGGAGACATATGTAATACTCTTTGTACTACTTTAAGCAATAAAACAAAATTTTAAAAAATAAAATAAAATAGAAAAAAGAAAAAGGACTTCTGTTTTCATTAACTTGTTTGTCTAAGCCCCGTATAAGTTTATTGATAGCAGTTAGAAGGCACGTATGCAGTCAGTGCTTTACAAATACATCTCCTTAATTCCTCTCACCTGGCCAGTTTTCCAGGTGAGAAAAAATAAGGCCCAAAGTGGCCGAGAACTACAGAGGGCAGGGCTGTGTCCTTTTCACTTTAGTATCCCCCATTGTGCTTAGCAGGGTGCTTTGCACATAGTGGTACTTCAACATTGCAGGGCTGGCGACTCTCCTGAAGAATAGTGTGTCTAATTCTCTCAATTTCTGAAAAATGACACTGAGGCTGGGAGCATGGAAATGAATTCCCAGTCATATAAATATTCAATAAATAAAGATCTTTATCCTTCAAGGAAGCCCATTGCCAGAACTGATTATATTCACTGGGGGTTTCATGCTGCTCAATATTCTGGGTCACTTGTGAATTCTGGCTTCATTTCTTAAATTTCTTTCTTTCTTTCTTCTTTCTTTTTTAAGAGACACAAAGTAAGTTAAATTTATTTTGCTTATTCCTCTGTGCATTCATTTGAATTCAGAATGCTTATGCTTCATGCAGGAAATTTAGAGAAAAAGTTAAAGTGAATTGCAACAATATATAAGGAAGCAACTTTTAAATAAAACTTAGGTAAAGTTGATGACTCAAAGAATTCCATAAAGGTAGCATAACAAATACATTTGAAGACAAGATGGTACATCCTTAGAAATACTCAAGAAGTTGGCACCTCTGCTGATTGGCCATGTTGGTAGAGCTCTCAGCTACAGAACATTCTAGAATGACTTACCATGCAGACCTGAGTCTCCTTATAATCTATTTTCTTATGCATCAGACACTACTTCCTTTTTCTCCTCAATGCCATAAACTGATATACATATATTTACTTATATATTTTATCGCCATGCATGTCCCTTCTATAAGGTTCTAAATTTCTAAACAACAGGGACAATATTTACTAATCATAACAGCTACCCCTGATTATCTGGTAAGTAACTTGCTATCAGTCACTTTCACTATGGTTTGTTTCTAAGCTGCTCTCACAGATCTTTATACACATGGTCTCTAATTTTTATAACTCTGTGGGGGGAAGTAATATATTACTATTCTTGTTTTATAGAGATGGTAACTAAAGAGAAAAAACTTTCATATTTCCAATTTAAGGGCCAATGACACAGATTTTGAACAATCTCTCTGGCCTCAGTCTTCATGATTTCTTTTAAAGGAAAGCACTTTTTATTAGAAATTATAAATTTAGCAGCTTCAAACAGAATTCACTTATTAGCTCATGTCTGTGAAGGTCAGAAATCTGGCATGGCTGGGGTCCCTGATCAGGCTTTGACAAGGCTGAAAGCAAAGTGTCTAACCCAGCCTTGGGAAAACTACGGCCCGTGGGCCGGATCCGGCCCGTTTGAAATGAATAAAACTATTGAAAATAAAGACCGTACCCTTTTATGTAATGATGTTTACTTTGAATTTATATTAGTTCACACAAACACTCCATCTATGCTTTTGTTCCGGCCCTCCGGTCCAGTTTAAGAACCATGCCTGAGCTATCCATAGAATCCCTTAGATTAAGTATACTCACTTTGTTCTGCCAGTGGCTAAGTCTCCCTTGCTTCTCTTCCCTAGGGCTTGTTGTAGGCAACTTGTTTTTCTGGAAAGAATAAACGCACCAGGTTCAGTTACAAAACATATATAGAAAGATTAAAAACAAAGTTCTTCTCCTAGGGCAGTGGTCGGCAAACTGCGACTCGCGAGGCTCTTGCGGCTCTTTGGCCCCTTGAGTGTGGCTCTTCCACAAAATACCAACCGACCTCTGCGCATGGGCCACGAAGTTTCAATCACACTGTACATGTGCACCCGCACGTGGTATTTTGTGGAAGAGCCACACTCAAGGGGCCAAGAGCCGCAGCAGCTCACGAGCCCCGGTTTGCCAACCACGGTCCTAGGGGCAGGGCAGGTTACCAGCTGCCTAGAGCTCAGTTTCCCCACCCACACATACTTGCTGTAACTGACAAAGAACCAATCAAATGCTATTCAATCGGATAAGTGTTTAATGGTTTCTGTGTGGAGAAGAAAGGGTTGTTGTGCTTCAACTGGGTTCTCAGGGTTACTGCATACAGCTTCATCTAGGACAGAATAACAAATCCCTCAGGGGAGAAACAGGAACTCTCCATCAAGTAGTTTTGATAGTGGGGAAGGCATGTAATAAGAATAGAGCCACAATTGTCTAATAATTATTCACCTTACTTACTAAATAGGAAGTTTCCTTACAGACTCTGGGAAACTGGAGTATGAAACAAGGCTGTAAAAAGATAAGATGCCTCAATGAGTCCATTACTCAGAAAGGAAATAAATTTTGAAAACAGACCAAGGACAGGACACACTTTGATTTGGTTGCTGTGCTGGAACCCTGACCCGCTCAGGGAATTTTTTTTCTGAATACTGACCATTCTCTGGTCCCAGGAACGGGCTGAACTGTTTGTAACATCATAGATTAGCCACCTGGTTATCCAACTTTGAACTCCTGAAGGCCAGACTGCAGACCCTCCCCTCCCCTTTCCATGTTATATTTGCAGCTCACAGCTGCACGTACCTATCTTCTCACTCCTGTATGTATATAATCAGCCAACTGGTGAGGGGGGGTCAGACCAGAATTCCTAGGGTGACTAACTGCAGGCTCTATTGGAATAAATGCTCATTTATGATTCAACCCTGTCTCTGCTTAAATAGGCTCAAGTGCTGACACGCGGCCTCGGACCATTGTGTCCAGTTTCAGTTTTATTGCTGCACCTGCAGTTTCATTGCTGGCGTCCGGGAAAGGGAACAGGATGTTCAGGCAGCATTTCTGCTAGTCACTTGCTCAAATTCTTATAGTCAGGCATATTGCTTATGTGGACACTGTATGTGAGTTTCTTTAGCAGGTTTTTAGTACATTTTATTCTAATTCCAATTCATGCTTAGTCATGTCTGTCATTTCCTAAGGACACTGAATTCTAGAAAACCCACTTGAGGCCTTGGAAACTCAGACTGGCTGATGGGCAGCCAAAGACTCCCTGGTCAGAGAAGATACCGGTGCAGAAAGAGACAGAACTCTGAACATCAAGCCATTGAGAGGAAACTTCTTAGGTAAAGTCACAGCCTAAAAATATTTACAAGAGTAAAAACATGTCTGTACTTAATAATATAAAAAGAGAAAGTCATTGCTAGGCTGTGCAGCAAAGGAAAACTGGATGGCACCTGGATTTAGAGATTATTTCCATAATCTGCTGGCACATAACCTTTAGGGAACCAATTGGCCATCATGGGTAACAATATTTAAATTGAAGGTGTACAAATCTAGAAGTTATAGCTATTTCTCTTTGAATTAGTTCCTATCCTTTGGTAAATAAAAGATATAGCCTCGTAACTTTGTAAAATATCTTAAGACAATATTTGTTCTTGAGTACTATTGCATCGATGGCAACAGCATTTAAAAAGCCTAATAATTTTAGAGGATGAACTCCTTCCAAAGGTCTTCTCAAAATTCTAGTTTATTGCACTAAAACAACTTAGAAACCACACTCTCAAAACTGTGATACTGTGGGGACCCTGTTCAGAGTACGCTGGATGTTCAAGGCCAATCTGAGCGTGGGAACCCTAATCAGGATGTTCAAAGCCAATCTGCGCAAGGACACAGCAATCTTTTTTTTTTTTTTAATTAAATCTTTATTGTTCAGATTATTACATTTGTTCCTCTTTTTTTTCCCCCATAACTCCCCTCCTCCCAGCTCCCGCCCCACCCTCCGCCCTCACTCCCCACCCACTGTCCTCTTCCATAGGTGCACGATTTTTGTCCAGTCTCTTCCCGCATCTCCCACACCCCTTTCCCCCCCAAGAATAGTCAGTCCATTCCCTTTCTATGTCCCTGATTCTATTATGATCACCAGATTATTTATTCACTTGATTTTTAGATTCACTTGTTGATAGATGCATATTTGTTGTTCATAATTTGTATCTTTAGCTTTTTTTTTCTTCTTCCTCTTCTTAAAGGATACCTTTCAGCATTTCATATAATACTGGTTTGGTGGTGATGAACTCCTTTAGCTTTTCCTTATCTGTGAAGCTCTTTATCTGACCTTCCGTTCTGAATGATAGCTTTGCTGGATAAAGTAATCTTGGTTGTAGGTTCTTGGTATTCATCACTTTGAATATTTCTTGCCATTCCCTTCTGGCCTGCAAAGTTTCTGTTGAGAAATCAGCTGACAGTCGTATGGGTATTCCCTTGTAGGTAACTGGGTTTCTTTCTCTTGCTGCTTTTAAGATTCTCTCTTTGTCTTTTGCTCTTGGCATTTTAATTATGATGTGTCTTGGTGTGGTCCTCTTTGGATTCCTTTTGTTTGGGGTTCTCTGCGCTTCCTGGACCTGTAGGTCTATTTCTTTCACCAGGTGGGGGAAGTTTTCTGTCATTATTTCTTTAAATAGGTTTTCAATATCTTGCTCTCTCTCATCCTCTGGCACCCCTATAATTCTGATGTTGGTGCGCTTGAAGCTGTCCCAGAGGCTCCTTACACTATCTTCATATTTTCGGATTCTTTTTTCATTTTGCTTTTCCAGTTGGGTGTTTTTTGCTTCTTCGCATTTCGAATCTTTGACTTGATTCTTGCGCTCCTCTGGTCTGCTGTTGGGTGTCTGTATAATATTCTTTATTTCAGTCAGTGTATGCTTAATTTCTAGTTGGTTCTTTATCACAACATCGAGGGTCTCATTAGATTTCTTGAGGATCTCACTACATTTATCGGCGGTCTCACCAGTCTTTTCGAGGGCCTTACTAAGTTTATCGGCAGCTTCTAGACAGTTCTTAAGAGACCTTAAAAGTGTGGTTCTGAACTCAATATCCTCCATTGACAGTTTTGTCCTGTTTCTTTGTCTCCGCATTTTTTATGCTTTCTTGGTGCACCCCCTAGTGGTCTTTGTCCGCAGTCTTGTTGCCTTTAAGCCTTGATTGATGTCGGCAATACCGGGGTGATTTGACCTCCAGGCTAACTGGCTATGAGAGTCTGCTGTGTCTGTAGTGGGAGGGCTTCTGTGCTGGATCTCTAGGGCGGTGCTAATCTAGCGTTTGCCTGAGGCTATCCGGCAAATGGCGCTGCGCAGGGCTTGGGCGGGGCGGGTCCCCGGGGATCTACAGGGCGGGCGGAACAAGCAGTTATGGTGACTCTCAGTTCCTTCCCCAGGGGCTCTGCCTCTCAGAGCCCCAGCAATGGCTGCAAACCTCAGAGTTCCGACCGAAGCCAGACAGTCCCGTTTCTCCCGTTTGAGTCTCGGTCCCCAGAGACTCGCCCGGATCTGGAGCTCAGAGTCTGAAACTCCCTCCCGATTGAAAACAACAACCGCGCCCTCCGCCGCCAGCCCGCTCCGCGCGCACACTCTGCACCTGAGTATTTCACTTCATCACTGCGCCTCCTCTGAGTCTGGGTATGATATTCTCTTTCCTCCTAGTTGTAGAATTTCCACTCAGCCAGCCTTCCTGTGGTTCTGGGTGATGTCCGTTCTGTCCTTTAGTTATATCTCTGAAGTGGTTGTTTGAGGCAGCGATCTCCGGCGTTAACCTATGCCGCCATCTTGTTTTTTTTTTAGGACACAGCAATCTTACTGTGTACACTTTGCAGGCATGCCTGTATAGCCCAAGTATTGAGGTCACTATTTGGCAAGTAGCCACTTTTGTCTAAGTTAGTATAAAGTTTGTTACTGACCAGCCAGTGAGAGGCTGCCTGGTCAGACTACTTTGTGTGATAGCTCCTATGTTACTAAGGCTACTTTTATGTATGGGGCTACTTGTCTACAAGGGCTGCCTTGTGCGGCTACTTGGTCAGGCTACTTTGTTAGCAATGGCTCCTGTGTTTACTACTCTACTAGCAAGGGCCACTTTGTGTTTACTATTGTTTTAGCAAGAACTACTTTGTGGACAGCCTTGTTGGCAACAGCTACTTAGTCTACAATAAAGACTCTCTTATATGCCTATGATTGCTCATATTGTCTTCTCTGTCTAATACCCAGCACCCATGAAGGTCCAGTTCCTGGCAGGGGAACTGAGACCCCACAGTTAGCATAGTGAAGCAGAACCAAGGAAGAACTTACTCCAGCAATTGGTGCAGCGAGCAGGATTAAGTACTTCCAACAGGTACTTTACACAATGGAATACTATCTATACTAATAATAGCCTAGGTAGTATCATGCCCTCATGTTGTCACAAAATGGCTGCCATAAGATGGCTGCATGCACAGTGGAGAAAGGGCCTGGCAGCAGCTCCACACAATGAGGCCTGTGGGCAGGGCCCAGCGGAGGAGGCGGGTCGCAGCAGGGGAGGGCAGTTAGGGGCAATCAGGCCCTGGCAGGGGAGGGAAGTTGGGGGCAATCAGGCCTTGGCAGGGGAGGGAAGTTAGGAGCCATCAGGCCAGCAGGGGAGGGCAGTTGGGGGCCATCAGGCTGGCAGGGGAGGGTAGTTGTGGGTGATCAGGCCAGCAGAGGAGGGCAATTGGAGGTGATCAGGCCCCAGCAGGGGAGGGCAGTTGGGGGCCATCAGGTCCTCAAGGAAAAAAAGTTGGGGGCCATCAGGTTGGCAGGGGAGGGCCGTTGGGGGCCATCAAGCCAGCAGGGGAGCAGTTAGGCATCAATCAGGCTAGCAGGGGAGCGATTAGGGGGTGATCAGGCTGGCAGGCATAAGCGATTAGGGGCAATCAGACAGGCAGGTGAGCAGTTAGGAGCCAGCG